GAAAACGGAAAAATCATTTTTTTGACAGAGTATAAACTTTACATTGAGAGCCGGACCAGATTTCGTCCAATTCCTTTCAGCTACTCAAATTTTTATTTTTTTATTGAAATTAATGTTTACCCGATGATTTGAATGTCTATCTGTCCGTCATTTCAGACCATGACCAAAACTTGAGTCTTGACGATGACTATGCGCTCAAGGAAATAGAGTTTGACACTGGTTTGGGTTCTTCGAAGAGTCTAACTTCCGCGAAAATGTCATCAACACCATGGGTAAGTAAACTTACACTTATCAAGCCTACCAGGTCAAAAATGACTTCTTATAGACTCCAATGGGATTAACCGCTGAAATGACAACTCCGGTCAAACGGCCTACTCCAGAAATTATGGTAACAGTGCATGATGGTGAGCGTGCAGACAGTGAGGAAGAAGAAAGTGGAAGCGAGGATGACGACGAATACCCAGATAAGGTAAGGTTGCAACTTACCCTAATTGGTATCTATCTAAGAGCCAAATTCAGGTTGTCGCTGCCCCGATCGCTCCCACTCCTACTTATGAAGAAGTGGAGCAGGAGCGACAACGTCAAGAGCAGTACGGCAAAGAGGTCTTGCAGCAGATCCAAGCTTTTGGTGAAGCTGCCGACGACGAGTTCGATGTGCAGTGGGCTAAGTCGACTTTGCAAAAAACCAAAAAGGAAGCTGAGGTGATTGCTTGGAGTAGCCACGTCGTTTTCACTACTTGAAGAAGCTATTTTAGAGCAGCGACACAACCAAGAGCGCTCCGAAAATAGAAGAAATTAGCAGTTTGTCGGATCAGGTATGCAGCTTTTCTGTCTAAAATATTCGAGACAATTTCTTTGGCAAATTCACAGAAGAACCTAAATCAAGTTTGGGAATTTTAATTTATTTTGAAGTTTAAGTTCACAAGTTTTAGACTGTCGGATTGGTCCTTGAACTCTCAAAAAAATTTTATTCAGTGAATTTGTTTCATCCAATACGGCTTATAATAACAATGACATGGTTTCTATTCCATTTTAGCAGAGTTAACATACACGAAAAAGTGTGAAAAGTAAATGGAAATTTTTCGAAGCACATTAGAATAGATTTTTTCATAAATTTGAGCAAGACTAGTGGAACAACTTTGATAAAAATGGAGGGCCCTACAATGGCAGATATCTTAGAATTTATCATTTATGAATTGTAAAATTTGTGCTATTCTGCAATTTGCTATTTAGAAGCAGGACACTCCACTTGAGATCTCGAAAGAAGAAGAACGAAAGAATCCATTCCTGGAATCGCCAGAAGATGAGGATGTGGTTAGTATTTTTCATTAGCATATTCTTTTTCTGAAACTTCTCGTGGAGCAATTTTGTTCAAATTTATCCCCAGTGACTTTCCCAACGCACCTTTTTTAGTCTGTGGACATGGAAGAAGTAGATGTCAACCGTGCAGCTCAATTTTATCAAACACACTCGCTGTTTATGCATCGGCCTGGTCCCGTTTATACTATCCCTGAGGATGTGAACGAGCTTGATGGGACCATCGACAATTCGGAAAGCAGAATGATAGGTTAGTGCGACTCAAAATTTCGGCCAAAGCTAGCGGACGTTTTTTAGCGAGGGAAAAGAAGCGACAAGCAGCTCGATCCGTTGCAAATTCGATTATTGGGCTGTACGGTCAGACACCGCTTTTGCCCTTTTCGGCCAAGCCTTCGACTACGACGACGTCGTCGACGACGGCTGTGGCGACGACTGCATACACAATAATCAGCTTCGATTCTAGCCTTCTAGGCCAATGTAAGCTTTTCTTCACCT